CATGCCCAGCATGGCCACATCCACCCAGCAACAGGGCAGAGAACCCCTTGCTCAAAATTTTTGAAACCCACCCCATACATCATCTACATTCAATGTCCCAGGAGTTGTGCCTTTCTTGCTGTGGCACCATTCTTATGTCCTTCCCTCTAAAATCAAATTGGCCCCATCCTTTTTGATATTCTGGAAAACCCTCAAGACTTGGTTATATGACAAGGCCTGGGGTTTCCATGGAATTGAAGATTTGTCTAGATGGCTTCATTGTTGATGGGATTATATTTTATTTTCTCTTCTTTTAGAGTTTGTATGTTGGGTTTTTAGGCTATTTATTTACTATCTTGTCATTACTGTTCTTACATTTTCTGTTTTATCTATTGTGTATCACCTAGAATCATCTAGAGAGATGGGTTTATAAGTTTGATTAATAAATAAAATAAATTTCCACATTAGTGACCTGAAGTATCTTCTAGTGTCATCCAACCATCCTTAGACAAATATAATGGTAATGGGTTTGGATTGCATTAATAATCGCTGCAGAATACTGCAAGTTCCTGTAACCAACTAGTGGGAAATGGTCTAATTACAGATCAAAACAAATTCAGTTTATTTAACACTGTGAGTTAGTAAGGCTGCCTTTCAAATTATCATTTATTATTTGGGGATGTTGATAAAAAAAGATCCATTTAAAATTTATGTTAATGCTTTTGCCAGGGTAGGTGCATATATAGTCAACAGGGAGAGCAGAATCTTTGTTACCTGTTTATACAAGCAGATTTCTAGGTATGTTCCATATGCAGCTTGTTGTTATTCTACATGACAATCCTCATTCAATAAATCTGAAGTCACAAAGAGGCTGTGGGAATGGATTCCTGCCAACTGTCTGCCTGTTTCACTTGCCTACTACTGAGACCACAGCTATGTGGCAGAGAGCATCCTGGATTAGACTTTGGCTCTGAGCATTTCCTGTTTAAAATGATCAAGTAGCTCTTAATGGAAAATGTTCATACTTGAAACTGTAGAGAGCTACAGTGGAGTGGGTGGGAAATGATTTGCTCGATGCACCCATAGAGTTTTTCCATGTGACTTGAGTTTCTCTTAATGCTGCTATTGTCTATACCTTCATTGTCATGATGTTGATGTAGGGGATCATTCCAACATGTCTATGTGTCAATTTGACTTTCATGCCCCAGTCCCACCAGAAAAGGTGTACTTTCTTATCAGAACTCTGCTACATTTCAATAATCATTGGAATGTCTTAATGTATTTTTCCCATTTCTTTGACATTGCACTGCCTTTACCATGTATTTTAGAGAATAAACCTCCAGGTTTCATGTGCCTTCACTTCACCAAATCATGCCTGCCCTGCACAGAGCAAAGCCCAGACATTCATTTGTTCATCCAGCTAGGCAAGGTGATTGTGTTTACAATAAACAAATAGGCTGCTGGTGTTGCCAATACTTTTTTTTTAGTTTTCATTTTGTCAGTTTCTGTGCATATTCAGATGTTAAAAAAGTGAGATCTGCAAACAATAATTGATTGGAAGGAAGGAAGAGAAAAAGCGCATGTATCTCAGGGTGTGAAGCCCAGGATGAGACAGAATGAGATTTAACTAGGGATTACTCTGGCAAATATTCAAGCATATATATAAAATGTTGAGCACAGAAAAATTGTTAAAAAATATCCTTGAGGGGCTCATACTTTCACCTCTCATTTCTGCCTTCCATCATCTTGATGGCCAATTAGAAAGTGTCTTATAAAGGGCCATCTCTCCTGCTTTCCGTTACCTCTTTTTCTTCGAGCCAAGGTACCGGCAAATGGCTATAAGATTCCTCAAAGAATTACCTGTCTGCCATTTCCAACTTCCATACCACTCATTGTCAGCCTGACAACTGTATCTCAGTAAATCACAAACCTGCAGTGTACAATATTGCCAGCTCTTTCAAATTCTCCATGACAAGTCAGCTGCACTTGATACTTGGATATTATTGAGACTTAGAAACTTTCTGCCCCTTAAGCCCAAGTCTGTGGGAGAGAATGAGGTATGTGTCTTGAGGAGAGTTGTTATATTTTTCAATGAGTGATACCTGGAATTCTCAAGCTGAAGAAAATTCAGAAAATTCTTGACTAAACAGCTTGTGCTTTAAAATGGAGGTGTGATGAAGAACATGGGTGAAATAAACCATAGGAAAGTTTGCTTTGATTTGCAGGAAAGCAAAATAGCAAGAACAACTTATAACTGATAACCTCCAAAATGGTATTTTTATCACAAGCTAGCATGGCTGAAAAGCAAAGCACTGTGATGTATAGATGACTGCTTGCATGTATGATATCCAGTTCAAATCTGAACTGAATGTTGGAAGTGTATATGGCAGGGATGTCAAACTCATGTTGTCATGGTGTCATCATATGATGTATTGTGACTTCCCCCCCACCCCTTGCTAAACCGGGTGTGTGCGTGGCCAGTGCATGATGCATCTGTCCCGCAGGCTGTGAGTTTGACATCCCTTGTATATGGGATTGGATGTAGAATATAGACTGTATATATTAACCCTCTTTGATTTCAAAATCAGAGCTGGATATGCCATGATCAGTCCTCTCCTTTTTTTGTATGTGCATCCTACTATATATATTTGATCTCCTCAATCATTGTTTGAGACTCTAGCATAAATCAGTCCTTTATGTCAAAATCCTTAAAATCCTTTATGTCAATATCTTAAAAGCAGCCAAATAATGCTTATATCTTAGTAGCAGTTCCTTCTACCATTCTTCCACTTTAAGCAGACTGATGCAAATACATTGCAGAATCTTTAACACAATGAACCTTATAAAGCTACCATATGATGAAATATGAAGACCAACTATATTTAATATTTTGGATTCTCTAAGTCAATAGATATTTCACTAACAGCTGATTAAAATTGTAGTAACTGAAGCCGAACTATAACTTCTAAGGCAAGCAATTAGGACAATAATATCCATTATATGGGCTGATACTTTAAAACTTCAGAAAACAGAAAAACTTCACTTACCCTTTTAATTGTTTAACTCTTAGGCTACAACTAGTGATTTCTGTCTAGATTTTCTTTCCAGTTTACATTGCACTGTTTTCCCTAACCTTTCATTTTATTTTCTGTTATTCCTGTTTGTCTTGCTATTTAATTTTATAACTCTGTCTCTTCCAAACACACAACAAAATGGAAGAAACTCTGTAGCTTTTTACAGCAGCTTTCTCCAATTATAATAGACCAGGGCAATAGTATATAGATATGAAAGAGTAGTATTCCACTCTACCTGTTTGCTGTCAGGGAAAACTAATCTACACAACCATATCAAAATGCCATAAACTAAATTACATAATCAAATAATAGTAAAGAAAATGCTAATTACAAAGAAGTTGCCCATGGCTTAAACATGAAGAGTCTCTCTGTTGTGCTTCTGTTAAAGCTGTTCACGGCATAGGGTCTGGTTACTTGAAGGACTGTAACATCTGCCTGGCATATTTGATCCTGCAGGATTGGTACACTCTAGGTTACAGTCAAACACTTAAGTACACTTAAACTGTCTCATCTTTTGGGATCCCAGAAGCAGGCATTTTCTGTAACAGCACCTGCTCTCTGGAATGAAGTTCCCTCAGGCGGCTCCTACTCTGTTGTTGTATGCAGATTTGACTCTTCATCCAGGCCTTCAGCAAGGAGGAATGAAATGGAATAATAGCAGAATACTAGAGTTGGAAAAGACCCTACCCCTGTTCCAGTCCAACTTCCAGCAGAAAACCCTATACTATTTCAGACAAATGGTTGTCCAGTCTCTTCTTTAAAACCTTCAGTTTCTGGAGGCAAGTCGTTCCACTGATTAATTGTTCTATCTGTCGGGAAATTTCTCCTTACTTCTAAGTTGTTTCATCCATTGCTTCTTGTACTGCTTTCATTGTCAAATCTTCTTCTTCTTTTTAAAATTTTGTACTGATTTTACACTCAAATTCTTTGAGTGTTGTTAACCACCCAGAGCCATGGATAGAGATGAAAGCAGCATACAATTTTTACCGAATTATTATTATTGTTCTTTATCACTAGAGATGTTCGCGATCTGCTCTCCTGCACTATTCAGATTCTTTAGGCAGCATCTTGGAAATGCTACACTCATGAGAGATAAATCTGATTTCTGACTTTCTTTGGTGTTATCTGCAACTGCAAGCCTGATCTTCTGAGTATCCTCATATATTTCAGATTGTGTGCTAGCAATGACAGGCCCACTTAAGGACTCTTCTTTTAGACCATCCCTTGAATATGACTGTTGCTTATACCCTGCTACCAATATCTCTACCATTAAGCCAGTTATGCCACTTACTGGCAAATTTTAATTGTAAAATCAGGATAGATGATTAGAGTTCCATATAAAATTTTCTGTTCATGATTATTCTTCAAAACTAATTTTTTCCAGTTTATTACAGTCATAAACCAGAGACCAGAACAAATAAAAACACTCAGTGAATATCCAATTAAAATCTATAATAAAATAATAAATAACAGATAAAATCTTGATAAAATCCAGTGTGTCAATTACAGATGGTCTAATTATACTAAAATAACAGTCCATAAACTGTGAGGCCCATAGTCAGTTTAATACTAAAATGCAAAGGAACAAGCAGTGCAAAATATTTGCCACATTTGTTGTATAAAATAGCTATGGTGGATTAGACATGTATTTCTGACAAATCCCCAGTGCTTCTGCACAGAATCTAGCCACCTGTGCTGTAGTTACGGACTGTTCATCCTTAAGCAGCCCCTGGGAATAAACAGTGTTGGATTGACCAGGATACCTAGCAATTATTGGAATGATATGGTTTTTTAAAAATATCTCTGTAAAAGGAACATCGAAAGAGTATGGTCTCCACCTCTCCTGAGCCACAGGAACAGAGTCTTTCAGTCAATTGTATCTTTTCATACTTGCTGTACATGACAGCTGATGGAAGTGCATGGCACCGTGCAAGTGAAATGCTTATCCTTATCCTTATCTTGGGGTTGTACTACTGTTCAATGAATATCTAGTGAGAACAGTACTGCTAACACCTACATAACACATCTTCAAGACTAAAATAATGCAACTGTCCTTAATCCTTGATTCACAAAGCACTGATAATTGAAAAATCAATCAGTTAAAATGTATAGTTGCATTTGTACCCATTGGCTGTAACATTGTTATATGTTGTTATATAAGGAGTAGTAATTGGCTATACAGTACTACATCTTAAAACTTATAATGTCCTTTCCTTCGGATTCTAGATTAAACCATTCTTCCAGACGTCTGATGCGAATTAAATATTTTGATTTTTTGATAGGGTTACTTTTATCCCATAGATTTTTTTTGCAGTTCCTCCTCTGCTTTCATATAGGCTTGCTTTTTTCTTAAGCTGAAATTCACTGTTCTCTGCAGATCAAATTACTGCCATTCTTTATCTTTTTCCTTAACTAGTTTCCTCTAACTCATCTTTATGTACATAATTTAAAATGCTATTTATTTGCTCTTTCTCCTAGAGCGTTAATGAGGATACAACATATAATATGACCTAAGGCTGATTCAATCAGCATCCAACTGGTCATTTCCTCCTGGCTAAATGCTTTGCACTTCTTTATTACATTTCATTTATGAACTTCTCCCACTTTCCAATCAACATGACAATGTTCTGAGGTCCACAGCAATTAGCATTTGTCTTACAGGATAGCTTTTATTATTTCCTCTTTCAAGCGCTTTATGGAGATCTAGTGCATTATTTAGTCTTACTTTCTTCAATGATTTAGGAAGAGAGCAGGAAAAGCAATCTGCCTCATCTGGCAGGTTGTGTCACTAATGAGCAAAAAATTCAGGGGTGGTATTCTACCAGTTCGCACCTATTCACTAGAACCGGTTGTTAACATTCTAAGCAGTTCAGAGAATCGGTTGCTAGAAGAAATTACTGGCCTAATCCTGTAAGGAAGGCAGGAAGGAAACATTCTGGGGTTGCTTACAGAAACTACCTCTCCGTTAACCCTTATTACATTATTGACAGGACTAGACTTCCTGTCTTAGGAACGTTTCTGGATTTTTTTTCCCCCTCCTTTGCTGGTTCTTTGCTTGTGTGGAATGACCATTCAAAGTTACAATGGCACTGAAAAAAGTTACTTATGACCATTTTTCACACTTATGACTGTTGCAGCATCCCCACAGTCATGAAAGGCCAGGTGAGGAGATGCATGCCTCAATGTGAGTGATATTGAGTTGGCCATGCCCAGCCAATAACATGACCAAGCCATGTCCACCCAGCCACACCCACAGAACCGGTTGTTAAAAAATTTGAATCCCACCCCTGAAAAAACTGATGGCTTATTTTAATGCAGAATGATGGTTGTCGAGATTTAAATCCTTCAGAGAGGAAAACCATAGTACCCCCCTCCCCCCCCCTCAGTATGGACAGGTCTAACACTATCCTGCCATTGCTGTTCTACATTAAATTTTGCATTGGTTTAACTAAAAGTTTCAATCATCTGTGGAATTAAAGGATGGTAAGGAGAAGCAGCATGATATATTTTTATCACCCAAGCCTTGGAAGAATAAAACGAGCAAATAAAACTCTCTGGCCTGTCATTAGGTTGTGGACCAAATCAATTTCTTAAAATATGTATGAATCACTTTTCTGTTTGAACCAAATTCCAGCTAAAAAAAACTTGTACCAATACAAAAGATGTTACCAAAAAAAAAAAAAAAAAAAAACACCAGGCAAAATCCATCCTAAGCAAAACAGCCATTGTGACCATCTCAAACTGAGCAAATCTGAGTGCAAGCAGATGTCATTAGAAATCAAATGGCATATTTATTTATATATTCCTCTATTTTCACTATTGTATTAATACCCTGCCCAAATCATAAGATTGTTTAACGGAGGGTTGCCACACATCTACTATCAACCCTCCCCCAAATAATTTAGCATTATTACCCTCCCACTAACCTTTAAAATCTCTGGGGGATGGTACATATAAATATGCTGGAAAGATGCCAATGGAATATCAACTTTCAGATTAATGGCGAAACATTGCTTTGCAGTTACTTACAAGTTTTCTTTTAATGTGAAAAAAAATCTTGTTTTTCTACTTTATTTTAAAGGTGCTTGAGAATTTCTTTTTAATTTTGGTCAAAAGAGGTTTTGAGCATATGTTTTTGTTAAAGGAGGCACAGAATGCTACTGTGGTGCCATTATGTTTTGTTATGTATATTTCCAGCAATGTGTACCTGAGCATCTATTATTTCAATCTGAAATAAAAAATAGAAACCCGAGTGACAACTGGATAATAAAAATGAGATTTTTTCTGCAGAACTCTATTACAGATCCCTTTAATCTAAATTGGTTATATGAAGTTGCAACATCTATAAACACTTGAGAGCAAAATGGCTGCCACATTTTTATTATGTAAATTTTACAGATAACTGTGCTTCCAGATATTCATACATTTAAATACCTTCTTAAATTTTGATAACTTTGAAATGAAGAGATCAAAACAGTGGAATGAAAATAGGCCTAGTGCCAGTGTAGAATGTGTTCATACAACAAGGCTGATCTGAAAATTAATTCTCTTGAGGGAACTAAACTTAAGTCTAAGCTTAAGAAAAGATGACAGGTGGAGAATATGGTGCCACTTTCTCAGTATTTGAAGGGTATCACAAAGAAGAAGATCAAGGCTTGTTTATTTATAGTTCCAGAATGTGGCACATGTAACAAAGGATTTAAGGGAAAAGAAGGCATATTTCCTTATGGTAAAATACATACATTTAAATCATAAAAAGCAGGTGCATGATACAAATACAGCTACATATACAGTATATGCAAAGTCTTCCTGTATAGTTCTGTATAATTCCTTTAAACAGAACAAAGATACCACAGTGCAGTGGACAGGCTATTCACCGTGTAATTCTAATTTAAAGCCATTTTGTTGATTGTAGTGAAACATCACTGTTATTTCTGTATTTTGTTTTGAAACCTTGCTTTGAATTTTTTTCCATAGCAACTTTGGAGAAGATGCATTGCTCAAAGCTACATCTATTAAAACCCTTTTCTCTTTGAAATAATTTCTAAGGAAAAAAACAAATACACCTCTTCCATTAAATTAAATAAAAGTTAATAGGAAACAGCATGGGATAATTTAACTGTGTTGCACAATTCTATATAGTATCCTTAGAAGTAGTCATGAAGTAGAATTCATAATCTTCTGAGGCATTTTATTGTTAAATAAGGGGGAATAGATGGGTACGTGGGTGAAATTAGTGAATGGTATAGTGAATTCCAGCCTTTACATCCAGAATCTTTTGAATCAAGTTCTTCTTCCATGAATAAGATAGAACAAACAATTAAAAAAAGAAAATACTTAATTTTCTCTTTTCCAAGATGCCCATAACCAGCTCTTGTTAACGTCTTTTCTTTTCTTTTCTTTTTTTAATGGAGTTGGTATTTTGGCAAATAATATTTAATCAGAATTAGTCTATAGTATCTATACAAGTATTAGCTCTCATGAAATTTAAGAATTGAGCAGGCATTTTCTTTATGCACTCCAATCAAATTTTCTTAGATTGCTCTGCAAAATAAATGTACTGAATAGCTTCTAAATAAACCTGATTCTTGAATGATGTTTATGAATATATTTTAAACCACTAAGAAGAAATTATGTAATGTGAATCTATGTCATAACTGTTCTAAGAAACAGTATGTCCAATGTTTCCTCTACATTATTTTAAGATTGTAAAATGTTTGCTTGTCCAGCTCATTGCCATTTACTTATATAAAACTCTGTCCTTTTCTGTACAATTATGTTCAGCATAATACTTCCCACTATTCTTGGGAAGATTATTGGGTGGTGGGACTTAATTAGGGGCAACACTTTCCCCCGAAATATAATTTGACATCTTGGTTTAGGTGAAGATAATTTATTCCTACTGCAGATAATATCTCAGTTTCTTTGATAATGTGCCTTTATTCTTCTCCTGTTACCTTCCTCATTAGCCTAGAAAAATTGTATACTTCTTCCACTGCTTCATCCAATTAAAATGTTGCCATCCAAACAGAGTACCATGACTAGAAGCTATAGACTATAACTCACCCAGTTCTCTGTATGCCCTTTCTTAAAGATCATAATCTTTTCCAATAATTTCTTCCAGAAGTAACAGTTTTCTTGCCCCTTGAATGCTGGACTGATTAATTATAATTCTAATCCTGTGGTCTGGAGGAAGTGTAAAGCAGTCATGTTTGTGACAAATGCTTAAATATTTGAAGATAACTTTTGAATCACCTTTAGCTATCTCTTATCCAAGCTGCACAAATCCAATATTTCTATGTAATAGCTACTGTTTACACATTTCATTCTGCTTGAGTTCTGTGTTTTCAATTTCATGTGTCAAACATAGCTAAATTCTTATTTAGTATTAAATTTCATGCATTTAGCCCATGAAAGCTTATAAGATAATAAATTGTTTAAGAAACTGGTATTTTAAATAATATATATTTTAAATATATAAAACACTATATATATACTTCCCATTATATGTATGGCATTCAGCTTTGTTCGGGTATTTTTCCACGTCATTGTAGTTGTGCTTTTAAAGTTGTAGCAACATTTCGGCAGAATCTCATCTGCCATCATCAGGCTTCTGATTGTGTCTGTCTGTGAGTCAGGCCCCCACAGTTGTTTCAGTTTTAAATTTGGGGCAGCCTATTGCTGTGCCAGAATGTTTTTTTCTTCATCCTGATTGGTTGGGAATCTAGGTCTGTGTTTATTGGTCTTGGAGTTTGCTGTGTTCTGCTTGATTGGTGTTTCTAATATCTTCTGTCTGTTTAGTGGCTCTTTTTGTGTCTTGATTGGTTGGCAACATTGTGTTCCTTTAATGGAGGCCTTTTGTGCAGCTTGGCTCCGAGTAAATGGACAGCTGTCATTTGTTAGGAAGCTAGGTTTCATCTGGGTGCCTGGTTGGGGTGTGTTTGAGCTGGAGGTATCAGGGGGGATCTGTTTGTGCCCAGGTGTTTGGCTAATGGTGTGGAGATTTTTTTGTTTGTGAGTGCAGGCTTCCAAATGATTGACAGTCTGGTGGAATCATCTCTTCTATTCATGCTTTCAGGTCTATATAATAG